GCGGAATGCAACTGTTCTCTCATGTCTATCACTTCCACCGGCAAGCTGTCTGTTGGAAATTCTTGTTCTTGGAGAATGATTTTTCCACACTGGATGCCTGCCTGTGGGCGGGTCGCCTTGATGTAGCAGTTTGGAACGTACGGGCTTGGGTTTGGGCCCCAGAATAGGAATTCGTGACCCCAAAATAGGGGCCGCCAAGCGGCCCCGATTTTGGGGTCCTCTAGTTGCCAGTCAAAATATGTTAAAGGAGGTTGGCTGCATTTCGCGGCTCCTTTTCTGGGGCCGCGAGACGGCCCCAGTTTTGGGGTCGCAAGTTTGATTCCTGCACCCACAGCGGCTGAATCTCGTCAGCTGCGCATGTCATTGATTGTATTGACTTTGGGGAGCGTCTGGTGGAGGACCGTTTGGAAGGTCGGAACTTGTCCAAAGCAGCTTTGTGCTCGCCCTTAAAAGTGCTGCAGCCAGCGGAATGCAACTGTGGAGGGCCGACCTGGCGAAGCCAGAATTGCTTGTGTTTTGCGGGCCTTAAAATGGGGTCGCCCGACAGCCTCATAACTGTGCAGCTTTGAGATCGTACAAAGACAGGGAAATTGTTGCAGAGGTGACTCTGCATTTCTGAACAGAGCAGATCAAGCCATGCAGAGTTATGGTATCGAGAAGGTCGGCCGGAACAGATCATACAAGAGCGGCGGAATTTTCTGGAAGGTATCTCCACCAGATCTGAACAGGACTTCTTGAGCTGTGCAGAGTTATGGTATCGAGAGGTGTGGCTGACGGTTCGGAATTTGTGCACGGTGCTTAACTCCAAAACCCCCTCATGCACGACATGGGCTCACTTGGCTCTCGCCAGATTTTTTTTGCTCTTTTAGCAGAGACCCATTTGCAAATTTTTTGCCTCTGCCTTGCATTTGCTGCCAGACCGGTTGTTGCGTTCCCTCAAAAAGAACAGTTCGAACTGCACTTTTTTGCTGTCGGAGGTTGCACCTCTACTTCAATTTCCGTTTTTGCTCTTTGAGTCAGTTCCATCGTGAAATCGAAGTCTTTTATTGCTTCATGGTTGCGTGTCTCTTTGCGCAGGAGGTGCATGGCTGTCACAAACCACAGGCGTTGCTCAGCAATTCCGCATCCCCGCGCAACACAGACCCGTCTCTGACGGCCCTTACAGTCGACTCAGGGTTCCAGCATGGCTGGAGGCATCGATGTGGTCTTGGCGGCAGCGGATTTGCCATCTCCGTATTGTGGTCGCGCATCCTGGCGTTGCTCATGTCCGCTGTCGAGAGAGTCGGATTTGTCTCTCGGAGTGGAATTGCTTCCTTCGCTGGTTTTTGAGTTGGCACACCTGTGCCTCGCATCATGGCTGGCTTCAGCCATTGCCTGCAACCTACGTTGCTCGCCCTTTACTTCCTCGCATGGACTTCGCCTTCAGGCGTTTCTAGCCTGCTATGCCCGCTTTGCGGTCACACCAGGCTGTAGAAGTGCGAGACCCGCAAGTCAATGTCGTCACGGTGGTCTGCCAGCCCTTGCAGCCGATCCAGGCTTCCAGCTCACGCTGGAGACATTGATGCGGTTATTGGCGGCCGTGGACTTGCCACCTCTGTGTCGAGGCGAGCACCCTGTTGTTATTCATGCCAGCACTTTTGCCAAGAGCGGGTGGCTCACGCCGTTTGTCAGTGTCGCAGACGGACCGCGTCTCGCGTTTGTCACGCCTTGGGCTCTTGGTTTGAGGTGTGCCGGAGCGGACTGCCTGCCTGCGGCACTCCTTGCACTCCATCTCCATCTGCCACCTATGCCATGGCCGTGGACTTTTGGATTTTGGTGTGCACGATCGTAATGGAACAAAGCACAGGGGCTGTCCGTTGTCTGGCGAGACTAGAACGGCTGCCGGAGCTTGGTTTTGGCTCCACCTGTTGCTTTGGGCGGCTCAGGGCGACGGCTCTTTGTTGCTCCAGACCGGTCGCTGAGGCTCCGTAGTTTGCTGAACGGCTACCACCGGCAAAGTCTGTGCGCCGCAGCCCTTGTAGAGCTTCGCCCTCTGTTTCACCGTTTTGTCGAGTTTTTTGTCTAGTTGGTAGTTTGCTAGTTTGTCGGGACCGAGTGCTACAGCCGTAGTCGACGAGGCCCAGTCAAGCCAAAAAAAAAGCAACACAGACCCGTTCCCCCCCCCCCGCACACAGGCCCGTGGTGGTTTCTGAATTTCTGGAAACATGTGGACGAGCAGGATTCTTCCAGACGCAGTTTGTGTCAACTGGCATTTGATTTTTGGTGTTTTTCACTCTGCCTCAAACTGTTAGAAGTGGTTTTTGACTCAGATTACTGACCACACTCGTTTTGTCTCGTTTCCTTCCGTATGCTGTCAGCTCAAGAAAAAAATCGAGTGCTGCACACTCTGTTTTTTTGGTAGCGGACTTCTGAGGGCTGTCAAGCGCCGCGGCCTCACCCGTACAAGGTTGGAGTTGAAGGTTCTTCCAGAAGGTACCTGTGCCTGAGAAAGACATGGACTTTGACTTGTTTAGACCAGATCCTGCTTGTCCTATGAGTCCGCCTGCAGCTCAAAGGTGGAAGTGTTCTTGCTGCTGTGTCTGGAACGCCTGTTCGGCCACCAGTCCCGCCGACGTCCACTTTGGGTGCGGACCAACTGCAGCACACGCGGCTCCAAATGTGGGGTCGAACAATCCAAGCAATTTTGGCTTCGCTTGAGTGGTCCCCCTCTGTAGCATTCTCGCAGGAGACTTCATGTCCTTCTGAAGCCCCCTTGAGAAGAAAGACTCCGCGTCAGTGACAATCTTTTTCTTTGTTTTGTTTTTCTTTTATTTCTTCGCCAAAACCCTCCATAAAGTGGTTTCGTGTGGCTTCTTCTACTTTTGTGGCAGGGACTGGTCATTGGCAGTCTTTTTCAAGTCCTCCTCATTGACAATGTTGTTCTTTGTTTTGTCTTTCTTTTATTTCTTCGCAAAAAACCACCATAAAGCGGTTTCGTGTGGCTTCTTCTTCTTTTGTAGCAGGGACTGGTCATTGGCAGTCTTTTTCTTTGTTTTCGGCGAGCTTCTAAAAACAGCGGGGGAACGTGGAGTTCCCGAACCCAGGGCTCGAACGCTCCGGGGAGGGAACATAGAGTTCCCCAAACCGCGGGTTCCAACATAGAGTTCCCGAACCCAGAGTTCGAACTCTCTGGGGGACGGGGGGGGGGGGTTCCGGAACCTGGGGTTCCGGTATAGAGTTCCCCAAACCCCAGGTTCGAACATAGAGTTCCGAACCCAGGGTTCGGACTCTCTGGGAAAGGGGGAGGAGTTCCCGAACCCGGGGTTCGAACGTGGAGTTCTCCAAACCCCGGGTTCGAACATAGAGTTCCCGAACCCAGGGTTCGAACATAGAGTTCCCGAACCCCGGGTTCGAACATAGAGTTCCCGAACCCAGGGTTTGAACATAGAGTTCAAACTCCAGGTTCAACCTGGGTTCGAGAAGTTCGAACCCAGGGTTCAACCCTGAGTTCCGGAGTTATATGTTCTCCCCCCCCCCCCGGGCCCCCCGGGAGTTCGAACCCTGGGTTCCGGAACACTCCAAAAACCTATGCTCACACCTTCAGGGCTTGCATGCGCCTTCCCAGAAAAAATGAAACCGACTCAGCCAGCGCATCAGACCGCTGAAGGGCCGCTACGTGGCTTTTCTCCACTCTTGTGTCTGCCCTGGCGCCAACAAGACGGTCAACTTCATTGTTGACTCTGCACCAATCTTGTCCCGGTCCGACTTGTTTCTCAAACTGTTCAACCCAGTGCAGATCTAGCTGCTCGGTTGGAGCCGGTGTCGAGATTTCGGGTCTTGGCTTGGCTTCCTCGGCGGTTCTCGCCACCGCTCCTTTATAGTCGTTGGTGACATCAGCTCCGGGAGAAGCTGCGCAGCGAAGTGAATGGCTCTTGCTTCCCCGGAAAACACTCTATTCACTTTTGAGCAAACCACGTGTGCAGGGTGCGCCCCACTCTCGCTTGTTCTGGGGTCGTTGGAGGCTCCCCTGTAGCATCCGTTGCTGCGAAGGCTCCTGCACCCTGCCAGATGGCTTTTAAAGCAACTTCTGTCTTGCGGTCCTCCTTTTTCAAGACCTTGTAAAGATCCTCCTTATGGCCACGAAGGCGTTCGAGGTTTCCCCAGAGGCGCAAGTGTTTCGGGAGTGCTTGCGAAGGTTTTGGGCATGCCGCACAATGCCAGCATCAATGCTACCCTCAACCTTCATGGAAACCGTGTGGAAGACCCATGGTGTGGTACAGCATTTTGGCCCAGCACTTCAAGCAGTGCGCAGGCTCTAGTTGCAGTGGCCTGAAAAAAGAGATTTCTCCTGGAAGCCTTTTGAGCATCCACAAGTGAGCTTCTCGTTGGGTTGCCCTGTGGGCCCCTTTTTTGACGCCTGGCCTGGGTTGTGGCCGGCGAGCGCCTTACAGTCCGTATGTGTGCATTACTCCGGGCAGCGCTCCCTTTTACAAGGGCTGGCACCGACACTGCTGCTCCTTATGCAGTGTAGGGCAACACACTGATAGGTGCGAGCGCCACCACGCGCGGCAGTTGCGACGGACGCGGCGGTCAGCTTTGTCCGTGTGCTGTTCCCCGAGCTGCTCGAGAGGTGCGAGCCGGCGCACGGCCGCAAAGAAGGAGTAAGAATCATGCTTGTGGTAGGCATCCTCCGCTTCTACAAGCTGTTGATCCCATTTGTCCCGGCGTGCTTTATTGGACTGCGAGTGCAACGCCTTGCGGGCTTTGACAAATCGCCCATTGAGCTCTCCAAAGATGAAAGGCTACCCGAAGGGGTGACCCAAGGGTGCATCTACGAAGCTGTGCCCTGGCTTGCCACACATGCCGAAGAGAGAGTTTGGTCTGTTCGTTATCCCAAACTTCGGTCGGGCGAGAGCTGAGGCGAGTGCCGGGGAAGAGTTCCCGAGACCCTTGTCGTAGGATGGCATCAATCTGCATGGGATGCATGACAGCATCCACGGGCTGATCCTGTAAAGCGCGAGTCAGATGGCTCCTGACAACACTCCGCAGTTTGTCAGCTTGCTGAGGATCTTGCAATAGTACATGAGCCATGCCAAGATGATCCATACGGGCGGGTTGAGGCCTGGGGGAGGGATCCACAGCCTGATGATACGGGTTCTTGAGAGTAACAACTGAATACACAGGCAGATGTCGGGCTCCTGACCTCCACGAAAATAGGTGAATCTGCGACTGCGGTCTGGAGAGTTTGGCGCGATGTCCAGCGTCACGCTCCCTGACATCCAGGTAGTCAATTAATGTAGAGTAGTCCGTTCCCACATATGTGGCTGCTTTACCCGGGGGTCCCCACGTGTTCAGAAGACAGAGGCGTTGTTGCTGTACGATATCCTGCCACTCATGCTGATCCTGTGCAGGGTTGGTACTGACTTGAGCACTCATTCCGACGAGCCTTGGCATCGGGGAGATACCAGTACTGATATCTCCACCAAAGATCAGAGTGTGCCTAGCTGGCACCGCATCAAGACATTTCTGGAGCTTCTCCCAGAACCGTAATCGTTTTGCATAGACCTCAGGACTATGGGAGATTCTGGAGTGTTGGTAGGCGCACACCAGAGTAATGGGCCGATGTAAGAGAGGTCGGCGCTTGTCCTCCGTGATGCGAACCTCCAGAAGACGGCCTGGGACCCATTCCTGATAGCGAATATGAGATGAGGAGGCAAGCTGGTTGTTGACCAATACGGCTACACCACTGCCATTGTTGGCCTTGGCAGTCTGACCTACACCTGACAGGATCCAATGCCAATGCTGTGTGGAAAACTCCGAAGCACTGCGCCAGGTCTCCTGTAAGAACACAATTTGAACGTTGCGAAGTGTGGATGGCTGGTTCAGCCACTGTGCCAGCTCATCATATTCTTCCTTGTTCAATCCACCAACATTTATAGTCACCAACCCAATATCACTGGACTGTATAGGAGTGACAGATCGTGCAGACTGTTGTAGGGGCCAGGAGGGCAGGTTTGGCACAGCAGTGCGAGGTCGAACATAGCGTGCTTGATTGGGACCAGTCGACGTTGAGTTGGGGCGGAGCGGTATAGGTTTCAGCTCATCGTGATGAGTGTATAAACGATTGCGATACTATGTGGCCCCATGCTGTTGCAATCGACGTTGTGCTCTGAGAAAACTGCGTTTGACGATGAAGTCTCCTTGTGTTGTGCGTTGTCGGTGTGGCTTCGCCTTGAGGCGGTCTGGGAGCACCGATTGCGCGGCTCCCGGAGCACCCACCGAAGGTACTCCAACCCTCGCTTCTACCCCTGAAGCTCCAAGGAGCTGGTACAATAGGATAAGCATCCATAGTCCCCAAGGGCCCTCGGACTTGGGACCGGGGCGGCAATAGCGAACTGGTGGGGGGGTGTTTTGGAATACTGCAGTGCCAAATAACTTGAGGCAGAAAATCGTGCAGTTGTAGAGGCAGCCACATGCATAGCAGCATCGGATAGGGAGGCATCGCATCCAATAAGAGGCATGGTGTGCACAGTATGAACCCTGGCAACTGACGTGAATTCAGCAAGTACCGTCATCCCGATCAACGTGGATGCACACTCAGTCAATGGTCTCTGCAAAACCAACTCCTGAGGAGACTTCTTTCCATCAAACGCAGCCGAATGATGATTGTGCATTGCAGCACAGTAGATCAAGCCTAATTCAAACGCACGCGGACTGCGCTTCAGATCATACCCTTGGGCTCGCAAGTCAAGCCTGATCGTGCTAAACAGCTCTTTCAGCGTCCGAACTGCTCTTTCAACTCCGCCAACGGATTCATGTCCCTGTGGTGGCACTCTTTGAGTCACAATCCTAATCCCAAGATTCGCTCGGCGAATCAACGCGCTGACAGCTGTTTCACTATCAGTCCGAAGTAACACCGCAGATCCAGCAGTCGTCAACCCAAAAGCATTCATCCAGTACCTACTCCAGGTCGATGTGTGATCCGCACTTGTCCCGACAAGGGCACAACCAACCATTCTGATAGACATCTCCGTCATCACCAAAATCTTCATGTTGGGTGCATTGGGCTGGTCCTTAACAAAGGTACCAGTAACCAAGTTGATGAAACAAAAATCCGCTTGCAGCTCCGCAGGGCGATTACCCACTTCCTTGCCTCTCCTATATTGCGTCACACCTCTTGTCTTTTGACAATGGGGACACCCAGGCATGAAAGGGATATGTCCTCGCATCCGATGAACCTCGAGATCCTCTTTCATCTTCACAGTCATAGCTGACACGTTCCCAACTTCCATGGGACTTGAAGAACCCTCTTGGTCTACCTCCATCTTCACATGAGTCCTTCCAAAGGTCACCTTCTTGGATGACGTTTCTGCACCTTGCAGATAAATCCATGGACATCCAGCCCAGGACTGTCCATATCCAACCAATCCTCCTTTCACCCGGCGAAGCGAAATCTCCGCTTTCGAAAACTTCACTTCCCAGCCGGTAGCCACCATGTGCTCCGTGCTCAATATGTTGTGACCAACCTCAGCTACAACTCCAGTCACCATCACCGGGACCATCCCGATATACGAATCCCCTTCATACAGAGGCATCTTCACTCTCACTCTCACCCTTTCAAACACCGTCACAGGCGTATCATTTGCAGCTGAGTACCTCTCACTCGGACACAAAGGCATCCTTGACACCACATTGAAGGAATCGAGAAACTTCTTGGCAATCACTGTCATTGAAGCACCAGAATCAATGAGCCACCAATTTGCCATCTGGTCGTTGTTCAGGCTACTAGCTCCGTTCATCTGAGATCCTTTCAGTAACTTCACCGACCCTGGCATATCCTTTCCCAGCATCTCACTGAGATCACTTGCAATCCTATGTTCCAATTCGGCCATCCGAACTTTGAAATCTGTTTCTCGAGTCACAACAAACTCATCCTGGGCCGGCGGAATCCAATCCCGTCGAGCCTCTTCAACGATCTGCATCACCGAGCTCACAAGAGCCTCGGACTCTGGCTCAGTCCATTCCTGATTTCCAATGAGATCAACATCCTCACCTTCACCAGGCGCCACTTCAGCAACGCTTCTGCCTTTTCCTTTGCCCTTATCTTTTCCACCCTTGGCCTTTGCCTTACCTTTCGGCGAGGGCTTTCCATCACCCTTCGTATTCGGCGCATCTTTGCCTTGATTCTTCTTTGCTGGAGCCCAGCAGTCTCGGGACAAATGCCCCTTCTTTCCACAGTTCCAACACTCCACATCCTTGTTTCCCTTAGCGCCACCCCTGGAAGCACTCTTGCTTCGATCCCTTTTTCCTTTCTTACCTCCTCTTCCTTTAGGAGTTCCCTTCTCGTCACCACCTTTTCCTTTCTCATCACCTTTGAACGGACTCAACTTTGTACCAGGCCCTTCAGACCAAACGCGCTGTTGCACCTCATACTTCAAAGCAACCCGCTTGAGATCCTCAAACGAATCACTGTCACCATGAAGCAAGCAGTAGCTTCGACACCTCTCGGGCAAACTTCTAAGCAACACCATAACCAAATCTGCTTCTTGCAGCTCGAGTCCTTGCGAATGCACGTCCGAATCCAAACTGTTCAACAGTTTCGAATACTTATGTTGCTCAGACTCAATCTTTCTCACAATCTCAGGGATAGTTGGCGCTCTCACCGTCTGATTGGCCAACTGTGCTCTGAAATAGAGACACTCAAACCGAGATTTCAAGCAAAACTCCTTCGCTAACAATCTCAAAGCCACAAATCCCGATTGCTGATACGAAGCCGCTCCTTCCACATAGTTCTGCAAAATCAGAGAACTCTTATCATGGCCTGCAAAGGTTTGCCGCAAGATGTGCAACAACCGAATCGATCTCTTCTGCTGCTCAACAGTCAGCCTATCTTGACCAAGGACACCTTCATCCTTTGTCCGAACAGCATGCATGAGCTCATTTGGGAACACTTCAGAACCCAAACCAACCCAACTGGTCAACTTCTCCATCCAGGTGAGGAAGCCTAAAGCTTCAGAGATCCTATCCTTCCATGACGAAAAGTCAATGATAGGTAAACTTGGCAACCATTTGTCTGATTTAGCAAAGACATCTCTCTCCGCATCCTGAGGATCTCTTGGAGGTGGGGGTGGTGGAGACCTACCCGGGCTCGGAGTACTTATCCGATAGGATTCCAAAACTGGAGATCCTGGTGCCACAGGTGGTACAGGCGCTGAACTCGCAACTTGCTGCTTCACCAGTTGCAGTTGCTGCTGCACAGATGCTTCCATGGTCTGCATAAACGTCTGTGACTGCTGCTGAAACGACTGCTGTTGCTGCTGAAACGAAGCAGTCATTGTCTGCATAAAGGTCTGCTGTTGCAGCACCATCTGTTGCATCATTTGCTCTAAACCTTGGACCTGTGCCCCCAACTGGGCATTCGGAAACGCAGCCGCAGGAGGCTGAGGCAACACACTGCTACTGGCGGCACCAGTAGGCAAAGGTGGAACTACTGGTGTCCTGAGAGGTACACTTGGCTGTCCAAAGGGAACAAAAGCAGGGCGTGTCGGGTCATCCGGCGGGCTTCTAGAAACCGGGTTTCTACCACGCGGAACCGGACCATATCCAATCGTTACGGGTGGACTTCTATCCCTTCCCGTCCTTGCACCTCCAGTACCCTCCCGCAGGAACCGAAGACCCTCGGGTTCTCTCCTCTCGACTTCTCGAGTTAGAACTCCCTTGAGGTGTATTCAATCAACATCCTGCTTCTCACACCCACCTTTTCTGTTCCTCTTGCCACCAAAACGGACTCGTCCTCCAAGGCACAAGCTCCGCTACCACGTGAAAAACTTAAGGTCCCTCCTGGACCTTTTCCCTTGGAAACAAGTCACTACGAACACAGTGGACAGCTGCAAGTCTTTTTCACTCGGCTTGCCCACGAGAAGGAGAAGGAACAGAAAAGTATTGGGATACTGGTCCATATAGATAATATAATTTGCTTCAATAAAACAGATCAAATGATTATATATATATATATATATTTATAAGTATATTTATATATTTTATTTGCAAAAAATTCAATTAATAAGACTGATCTTCTCGAATTATGAATAATTCTATTCCAAAAACAATAATTGGGAACCGATATTTGAGAATATAGATCATCAAATTGGTGGAAGATCTTCAATTTATTTCTTTTTAATAAATTTCTGAAGAGAAAATTAATCAATTATATCTTTATGATTTCAATTTTTATTTTTGAAAAATTTTGGAAAATTAATTTTTTTCTAAAATATATCTATTTATATTTTGATTATATTATATATTTCTCATATTCGTTATTCGAATTCTATCATTAATATCATCATTTTTCTTTTAATAGAAATTTTAATTTCAATTTTATTATATTCAAAAATTTCAATTTTCGATATATCTTTTTGTCAGAAATCATTATTTTCATTTAGAAATCTAAAATTTTGCATATCTCTAATTAGATATGATTCATAACTGAGATTTTGAATATAATGATATATTTTTTTAATAATTGAAAATTATTCTTGATTATATTGCAAATCGATTTTTTTCAATATAATTTGATAGATTTCGTAATTTCGTTTATTTCGAAATACTTTGAAGAATAAATATTTGACGAGATTTTCATTTATTTGAAAAATTATTCTATTATCATATTTAAAAGAAGATCCATATTTAATTTATTCATCAAAATCAGAAGAATTGGTCAATCATGATCATATTGAAATGCTTATATTATTTTCCAAGCAATCGAGAGCGAAATATATTTCTTTATCAATCAAATCAAATATTATCATCAAATACTATTACTATTATTATAATGATTGATTTTAAAAATTTTGATTTTTTCTTCAATCTATATTCAATTTTTTTAATATAGAATTGATTTAAATTTTCGATCGTCAAAGACGTCCATATTATGATTCCAAGATATCTTCTGTGACGCCCGTTCCAAATCCTTCATTTTTATTGATTTTTTTACGAAAATGATATTTCTTCTCGTCTATAATTCTCTGCCTTTTGGGAAATCTATTCATTTGAAATCTTTAGATCTCATTTGACCATTCAAAGATCAATATTCTTTTTTTCGCCCAATGACAATTCTACAAAGACTACTTACGACTATAAATCTTTTCTCTTTTCTTCATTTATTTTTTAAAAATATCTTTTATTTGATACTTCCATTTTATCATATCATATTTTTTTCATCTTTAGAAAATTATAACGTCATATCTCTATCGTCCCAGTTCCAATATAATTATCATTAAATAAAATACAACGATAATTCTTAGCTTATTTGGAATTCTTCTATAATGATTCTTCAATAATCAAATCCATTCAAATTTTTTAGCGCCTTGGAATTGGAATTCTTATTCTCATGCCTCGTATAAAATAAATTCGAGGTTTAGAATTTATATCATCTTCAGATATTTGATTCTTCGATATCCATTATCCAGAAAATATCATTCGAATATTAGTGTACTGCTCCTATCATCTTTGCTATTATTTTTCTTTATCTCTAATCCTTGCATATTTCTCTAGTTTCTATTATTCTTTTTCTTGATTTTTTTTGAAATTTTGCCTGCTTGATTTTTTGATTTCTTTGAGAAATCTTGATTCGAAAAATTTGCATCGAGAAGGATCACGATACATGATTTAATTTCTTATATTTTATATTTTCTTTAATGATCCTTTCTTTTCATCCCTTTCTATCTTATTTGCACTCTTTCTTTTTTTTCCTTCTTCCTATCTTTCCTGCTCCTTCCGCCCTTCACTTCTTCTCTTTCATATCTCCGCCTTTTTCCTCTTCGGAAACTTAATTTTAAAACCCCGTCTAGAATTATCCACGGCAAGCGACGAGCGACGACGAAGAAAATTTAGTTATATAATGAAACGGGAAGAAATGAATATGGGAGATTATGATTTCAACTCATATTTGAAGATAGATTCGAAAAAACGAAAATTAGCTAGACGAATACGTTTATTAATTATAAATGCTTATTTTCGAAATATTCTTAAAATAGAAAAAGAGAAGAGAGAAAGATAGATTAAGACCAATGAAAATAAAGATTGATTCTTGATTTGATTCGAGATTTTGCGGGACTATTATTTCTACCAAATCCAATGAATATTTTCGAGAAAATTTTTTTAAATTATTATTTCTATTTTATTAAATATCTTCGAGATTCTTAGCATTATTTACCTATATATCGCGATCATTTGAATCTCTATCAAATCTTATAAGAAATTGAGATTTCCATTTACGAAATTTCCGGATTCTATACGGGGATAGAAACTACATTTATGATGCAGAACCTATGAAATCTATTCGATATCTCTCGGTTTATCTTCCTGGTCCTATCTTCCTTATCTTTCTTTTATCCGCCTATATCACGATCATCTAACTCTTTATCTCCGAAATCTACGCAATTCTTGGACAGATTTATACCTGCGACTATCAATTATAGAAATTATGATATCTAAATGATAATTCTCTTTCTTCTCGCCCATCTCCTAAATAAACAGAATGTATTCCTCTCTCTCTCTATCTCTTTTCTCTCTTCTCATTTCGTTTCTCTCTCTTCCCTCTCCCTCTCCCTCTCTCCCTCTCTCATTCTCTCTCTTTCTCTCTCTCTGTCTCTCCCGGACATGGAAACTCGTCAAATCCTCCGGGCATCATATCTATTTGATATCTTCTCGGGACGAGAGATATAAAAGACGAATATAGATCATCAGAAATCTACGATAATCAATTATATGATGATAGATTCAAGATGATCGTATATTCTCAGAAGAAATTCTCTATCCCTCTCTCTCTCTCCTTCTCTTCTTCTCTCTCTCCCTCCGTCTCTCTCGATCTCTCTCCTTCAATTTTCAATAATAACCATAGAAATTCCATCATCCCCGTCATTAAAAAGACTTCTCTTCTATCTTCCCTCTTTTCTCCTCTCTCTTCTCTCGTCTCTCTTCTCTCTTCGTCTTCCTCCCTTCTATCTTCTCTCTTCTCTCCCTCTCTTTCTCTCTCTCCTTCTCTTTCCCTCTCGATCTCTCTCTCTCTCTCTCTCGTTCGCCGGGGCATGAGGGGCGTTTGAAGCCCCTCGATTTTGAAGATCTTCCCGATATTCATAGGTTTTGAAGAAGATATGAAAAATTGATAATTTTCTTCCTGATATATATATCGAAGATGATAATAGATCAATATTTTTATTTATCATAATACGGAAATATAGAATATCTTATCTAATTATTTGAAGCAAATATATAGAATAATACGATAATATTCAATTATTTCTCTTATTCAGAAATTTGCGAATAATATAAGATTCGTTCTTGCCGAATCAACATAACGAAAATATAGGAATATGATCATTATTTGACGAAGTGCCCATATCTGATCAGAATATATAATTCCAATCTATTTCATCCAATATAATTGATATCTCTCGCTCAGAAATTAATATTGAATCATATCATATAATACGGAGATCGATCAATAATTATTTTTCGGAAACCCAACGTCTTCAATCTATCAGATCTTGATAGATATTATTTTGATTTCGATATTTTATTAAGGTAATCACATAAAGATAAGACGACCGTACGATATAGATAATAAAATTTAATTATTGAATCCAAATATCATCTTCAAGGTTCCAATCTCTCCTGGCATTTATATGAGAAATCTACGAGGTTTTCAAATAATATATAGAAATAAAAGAAAATATGGACCTAATAATTATTCCATAGATCTCAAATATATATCAATCGAAATCAAGATTTGAATTTCCGATTCGGAATCAATATAAAATATTTTCTTTTTGGTCGTATCCTATCGGATTATTATAATATTATCAAATTAAGAAATAACGATATATATGATAAAATATTCAATCACGATTCTGCTGACGATAATCTAAAGACAGGAGGTGCTCCATATCTCTCATGCAACTATTTCTTGAAATCGATGATTTTAATGAAAATTTCGAAATCATAAAATATCCCCCCTCATAATTATCTTATATTTGTGCTTTCGGAATTTATTAATCTATCTATCTATGCATAACGAATTATAAAGAGCATGAGGAATATAATTCTTAAATTCAATCATATATCTTTTTATCGTAAAAAATTTAATAAGATAATCTATAGTCAGGCTGCCCTCTTCATTGATAGGGATATAGATAGAGATATCTCTGATCAATCTTATAATTGCCTCTTATAAGATCGGAAGTCTCGCTATTGGCTATGAATCGATTTCCCCCGTCAGGTTGCGCAACTAGTAGAATATAGTTTTCTCCCTTTATTGGCGAACTAGATCAATATCGACCGATAGCGCTATTAATATCTCAACGACTTT